TGTAATCTGATGGCTCGCTCTGGACTGGATGTTGCTTATGGATGCAGACACTTAAAGTTTCCAGGTGGACAGAAGATCCATCAGCAAGAGGCTGTGATTGTTACCTTCGAGTACTGGTTTCATAGGGATGTGCAAATCAGCAATTGGCTATCTGAGAGCGGATATTATGAAATGTGACGTCAAAGAGCTAGCTTACACACTTTCATGAAAGTAGTTGTTGGGAGGATGATTGTAAGGGAGGGGGAAAACCCACAATATAAATGAACAAAATATAATGTAAATGAAGGACTACATGGAATGTAATGTACATGTATCAACCACAATATATATTAATAATAATAAAAATAAACCATTGCCAACTCTAAGGTCAAGAAAATTTGCCCAGTGGGTTTTCCCCCCAAGATTTTTATTGTTTTTTTTTCTTGTACAAGTGAGATCTTTATTAATTGCATGGAAAATATCAATCACTAACTGAAAATTGATAAATAGTATTTTCCCATTTCTATTTTCTGCATCGTTCTGGGTAAGAGGCAAAGACATTATCCCTTTAACAAAGTAAAAGTTTACCTTGCAAAAAAGAAAACAATAAATATTGAGTGCAAAAGCCCACATTGGCAGATACAATGATCAATTTGTTACAATGGTGCAAAAACATACCCAGCTTTCACCATCACTGAAGGACTCCCACACACGTAACGGAAAAAAAAATCGTAAAACCTCTGCAACTATCTCACTTTGCAAGACAGAACAACAGTTCTCCTATAGGACATGATCAGGAAGACTCAATCACTCCTAATTGTCTTCTTCATCTGTCTATCTAGTCTAAGTTCTCGGGTGTCCAGTGAGGGTGGAGGATCCTGCAGGGTGAGTATAAATATGTCCAGGCAGGACAGACGAATCATCTATGTCCTACGTTGCTCATATGAGTATTGTGCTGTGTGAATGCTTGCATGTCCTGATGCCATCTGATTGTGGAAAGGTGGTCCCACATTCCTTATATGCAGATGGTCTATCTGGGGGAACTCTTTGGGGATAGTTTGTGTACCAGGTTCACAAAAGGATTCCCTCCATTCCTAAGTTCTCTCTCTTGTGTGAATTTTTCTATGTACTGAAGTGATTCAATTGTGAAAAGGTGTTCCCACATTTGTAACAGTCCTAAGATCTCTCTCTCTCCAGGGTGAATTCTTCCATGAGGGGCACTGATTGTCAAACTCCTTTCCCACATTCCTTACATTCAGAAGGTCTCCCCCCTGTGGGAATTTGTGTAAGGACAGTTAGGCTGAAGGTGACAAACTGATATCTCTATTCCTAAGGTCTGTCGCCTCTGTGAATCTTAATGTTTGGTGAGGTAACCTGCCACTGAAATGGTTTTCACATACTCCTTATATTCATAAGGTCTTGCTCCTGGGTGAATTCTACGTACAGTGAGACGCCTTGAATGTCAAAATGTTTTCCCACATTCCTGACATTCATAAGTGTAGGAAGCAGAATATAAAATTTAATGTTCATAATAAGCCTAGTGTTGTATCAGGAGATGAGAGAGGCTTAACAGAAGCTAGAATTTACCCTGTGACACTATGCCATTCCTTAAGAGCCACCATTGTTCTTAGTTTGTAGTGACTGAATCCCTCCCTCCTGAGATGAGCATAAAGTAAACAATAGAGAGCCTCATCTGCAAAAGACTTCCCCATGAGCCCTTGTTTTTGTTTTACCCTTCCTTATGATTTTACTTTGTTCACCTTCCTTATGATTCTCCATAAATACTCAGGAAGCATGACTTGGGGGGCTTCAGTGGAGAACTGTTGGCCCCCTGCTTTTCACACTCTCTGTTCTAAATCATTCCTGGTAGCCTGTCTCATTATTAATAATTATAAAAATACTTTACCCTCTGCCTGCAACACCTATGGTCTCTCTCCTGAATGAATCCTTCTATGTTCAGTGAGGTGACTTGATTGTGTAAATGTTTTCCCACATTCCTGACATTGGAAAGGTCTCTCTCCTGTGTGGACTCTTCTATGTACAGTGAGGGTACCTGAATCTGAAAACGCTTTCCCACAGTCCTGACATGCGTAAGGTCTTTCTCCTGTGTGAACTCTTTTATGTTGAGTGAGCCTATCTGATAGTGAAAATGTTTTCCCACAGTCCTGACATTTGTAAGGTCTCTCTCCTGTGTGAATTCTTCTGTGTACGGTGAGCTTCCTTGAATGTGAAAATGTTTTCCCACAGTCTTGGCACTTAAAAGGTCTCTCTCCTGTGTGAACTCTTCTATGTAAAGTGAGATGACCTGACTGTGAAAATGCTTTCCCACAGTCCTGACATTCATAAGGTCTCTCTCCTGTGTGAATTCTTCTATGCTGAGTGAGCTGATGTGACTGGGTAAATGTTTTCCCACATTCCTGACATTCGTAAGGTCTCTCTCCCATGTGAATTCTTCTATGTTCAGAGAGGTGACCGGATCGGAGAAAGGTTTTCCCACATTCCTGATATTCATAAGGTCTCTCTCCTGTGTGAAATCTTCTATGTCCAGTTACATCCTGTGATCATGAAAATGTTTTCTCATGGTCCTGACATTCAAAAGGTCTCTCCCCTGTGTGAACTGCTCGATGTGACGTGAGGCTACCTGATTCAGAAAATGTTTTGCCACATTCTGTACATTTATAAGGTGTCTCCCCTGTGTGAACTGTTCTGTGTTCCTTGAGATCACCTAACCGTGGGAATGGTGTCCCACATTTTTTACATTCAAAAGGCTTCTCTCTTGTGTGTGTTCTTCCATGTCTTCTAAGATGAGACAAGTGACAAAAGGTCTTCAAACATTGCTTGCATTTATAAGGTCTCTGTCTTCCGTGAATTCTTCTATGTCTAAAGAGGTCCCCGGATTTTAAAAATCCTTTCCCACATTCCTTATATTCATATTTTCCCTCACTTGTGTGAATTCCTCTTTGTTTAACGAGGTGATCCAACCATGAAAATGTTTTCTCACCTTCCATACATTGAAAAGGTCTCTCTCCTGAGTGAAATTTGGAATGGAGAGTTAAAAGAGAAAGCACATGAAAGGTTTTCCCACACTGGTGACACTCATAAGGTTTCTCATCTGTATGTGTTCTTACATGTCTCCTAAGGCATGACAAAGAAGGAAAACATTTTCCACATACCTTACAATTATACGGCTTCTCTACACGATCAATGTTTCTCTTTCCTGTGCTGTCTAATGTACTAGTAAGCAGGGCAGAAGAAGAAAAGGGTTTCCCCTTTTCAATACACTCATAAAACTTTTCTAAAAACTTAAATGCTTCTTTGGAAACTAAAGGGAAAGGATTCCTGCAGGTCTCAGCACATTCTGTAAGTTCATGTTCATCTACCACATGGATCCAAAATGAAGAGAAGGTACAAAAATCTTTGCCACATTTCTTACATTCATGGTCGGTGTCACCAAGGTCATTCCTCAACAGGTTTATGTCGACACGGTTGCAGGAATAACTTGGAAATCTGATGCGCATTTTCCCAGGGTAAGGGTCTTCAATCCCTTCAGACAGCTCCTGGACTGTTTTACTTCTCCAACAGTTCTCTTTGAGTTTATGTAGATGTTCTTTGCCACAGAGTTTTACCACTTTCCATAACATGGAAGACCAAGGGTGGGTAGTCCTTAAGAATGCCAGCTGAGTACATTCAGGGGATAATGCTTCTCCATCATTCATGTGTTCACGGCCTATGAAATCCAGGTTGTCTAAGATTTCCATCATCACCTCCCTGTAGAGTCTCTTTTGAGCAACAGTCAGCAAAGTCCACTCTCGCTGGCTGAAGAAGATGACCACGTAGTCAAGCAACAATGGTGCCATTTCTGTGCTCTGTCTTCTGGAGTTCAAAGGGAACCGTGTTTGTTAATATGAAGAAATCCCTTCAGGATGAGAATTTGAGTGTGAGAACACAGGATAAATGGAAGCAGATGAATGATGTCTGATCCACACTCCCT